ATGAGAAATTGTTGCATAAGAATTAAAGGAAAGTAGAAGAGCATACTGTCCAGTGTCTCTATCAGTCCTGTCATGTTAGAAAGACAAACTTGGGGCTGGGGATGTGGCTCAAGCGGTAGCGCGCTGGCTTAGCATGCGTGTGGCCCGGGTTCGATCCTCAGCACCACATACAAACGAAGATGTTGTGTCCGCCAAGAACTAAGAAAAATAAATAAATAAATGTTAATATTAAAAAAAAAAAGAAAGACAAACTTCACAGACTGACAAGACTGTTAGTATTTGCAAGATTTTTTGTCACTTTAGTTATATACAATTAGGTTATATGCAATTAGGTTTCTTGGTCTGGAGAACTAAAAACTGTTTTCAGAGATTTATTCCTTGAGGCAGTCAGAAAATCTGAGTATTTTTTGTTTTAATCTCTGGGAATTGAGGGTAATCTTTTCAAGATCTACTAGCAAACTCTTTGGGATGTTTGCTCCTGTGTGTTTCTGTACAGGTATTTGCATGACAGGATTGCAGAGCAGAGTTTGGCTGCAGGGTAATTGATGACTCTAAGTACAGATTCCATTTACTTTGTTCATTGGCTAAATACTCCATATTGAACAAATCTGTTCCTCGAAAGCAGGAATGAGAGTTCATACATTCTTGGGTTCTGTAGAAAATGCGTTATGGTGTTAATAGGGCAACTGAGAGGAAGAGTGAATGAGCCAACTCTTATTGGAGCCTACAAACTCCTGATATATTTGACACATCCAAGAGAATGCTTTCAAAATCGAGATATGTGTGAACTGTTTGATTCTGGGAATCTAAATTCTCTCTGTGTACTTTGCAAGTCGAATCCAAAGAGGTCCTTTGAAATCTCAAAATTCGTCTGTTTCGTGTGGAATTTGTTGGGGAATATCAGTGGGACAACAAAACCAGAAGATGCTGGAGGAGGGGTGGGCGGTGACAGCAGTCGGTGCCTCTGGGGCAGGTTGGGGAAAGCAAAATAGGGAGACTGGGGGTAGGTAGGAGAAAGGATTTTAGAAATTCTCAATACTCTTAATGGAAGAGTATTTTTATTTTTTTTTATTTTTATTTTTATTTTAATGGAAGTTTATCTTTACTGTTTTCTCGCATGGTATCTGAACCTTTACTGTCGTACTAAAAAGAATTTCAAAAAAACAGAAACTGTGTGGTGGTTCATGAGTAGCCCCATTCCTTACATGACTACTAATAAATTGAGAAGGAATTGAAAGTATGCTACTTATTCAAAAAAGTTGTTGTGAAACCCCAGGCAATTTCAATCATATCTTTCCAAAATTAGTAAGATTTTCCTTTGTGTCTCTTTTGACCAGTAGTTAAGTCCCCAAATTGATTGTTAGTCATCAAAAGGCAGTTAAAATCAGATAACAACACTAAAAATTCTCTCCAAACAATTGAGATGAAGAGATCTGACTTGAGGCAGCCCAGGAGTATGAATACTCTGTTTGAGGTCAGGGAAGTCACTGTTTTATTAAGAGTTCTTCTCTCAGTTGTCTCTTGCCTGCTCGTGGAATGAAGTGACTTATGTGGGTTATTCCTGTTATGGCTTATCTTTATAGACCCAAGTACACAAAATTTCTGCCTACTATATCTTTTAAGGTTTTAAAACTTATACCCAGTGATATAACGACCAGGTGGGGGCATCCTGTTGCTGGCAATGCCTGAAGCTAAAGCAACAAACAGCAAGTTGGGTGGAGAAGCAATCTGCAGTGGAAGCCAGAATATTCGGGCATTCACCAGAGCACTCAACTTCCTCCAGAGTCACCATTGCATGGGGACAAGGTCTGGATCCCCACATAAGAGTGAAAAAGAAGACTTCTGAAACAACAACAAGGCTGTTTGCAGAGGACCAGAAGGGTACCTGTTCACGGAATATTGGCCCTCAAAGTGAAGGTCAGAAAGAATCAAGATGGGGTATTTCCAGAAGGACAAATGGAGCCTTAAATGTAGTTGGGGTTTGAAAGTTGCAAGGTTGAACCAATTACAGTAAGATGACAAATTAGGTTCACCTGATTACAAGAGTCTATCAAATTATCTTCAAGGAGCCTAGAATAAGAAAGACGTTCCACCAACAACTCCCAGTGACACGTTGGGCTGCTTGTTGGACTGATTCAGAAACCTTGTTGGAAAGAAGCTTCTGGATGGTTTCCCTTGTTCTGGGGGACTCTCATTAGTCTCTGACAAGGTTGAGTATTGTTCGTACAACATGAGTCTTCTTTACCCTGTGATATTTCAGTCTGTGGGGATTTGTGCCTGAAATCTCTTTGAACCTTTAGCAGCTCTGGCAACTATAGGATGCCTAAAGAAGAAAACTGCACTGGATCTCAGAAGAAATAACACTCAATGGGGGAAGGCACACAGGTATGTGTCAGAATCCTAGGGAATCACAGAGATAGAGAGGCATGGGGCTAAAAAGGTTAAGTTCAGGTGAGAGGGCACCTGTGTGAGAGGCTGGTTGCCAACCATCAGAGGGTCCTCCTAACAGTGACCATTATGGTCAGGCATGTTGTGAAGAGCCAACTTCACGAATCTAAGAATATAAATCTTGAAATTCTTCTGTTTCTTTTTATCCCAGTTTGCATTTAGATAACTTTATTTTCTCCTTCAAAAACCCCACCACAATAGGACAATAGAAAAAATAAATTAATAAGAAGAGAAGGAAAAAAAAACTTTCCAATGCAATTACTTCAGAAATTCTTTTCTTATGGTGGCCTAAGATTTTATTTTATTTTATTTTTTTTAGTTTTTGTTTAATTAGGTTTTAAATCTTCCCTTTCTTAATTACTTTTTTTTTTTTTTTGGTATTAACACCTAAATATACTTCTATTCGGAGCACAAACATACAGTGATAACAATTAGCAGAATAATTACACTCTTTCTGTCAGTGTAACCTCATGGCACAGAAAGTATTACAAATCCATTTTAAAACATATTAAATGTTCATATTAATGAGGATAATAGAGAACAAGTACCAGCAAACTAAATATTGTTAATGATTTTGAGCTATTAAATTCATTACCATTTTCTTTCATAATAAAGTGGTTACTTGCTAATTAGACCTTTTTTAACTCATCATTATTGAATTCATTACATTGTGTGCAGTTAACCCTTGGAGGTCTGTGGGTGTATGCACACAATTAAAATCGTTTTAATACCATATTAAGGAGATATGGAGAGTTCTTATGGCTTTTCTAATGGTGGTTCCATATACTTTCCTTATGTACTTTTCCTTGGCAGGATATGCCTGGCAGCTTCATGGCTGTCACCGCGTTTTCTCCAACACATAATACAGAAACAGCCTGAATTCATTAAGGTTATTACCCGCAGTATTTAGAAGAAAAGTGCATCCCCCTTGTTTCATTATAAGAATTAGACATGTACAAAAATACACTACCATAACTAGGCAACAATTTAAAGTAGTTTTAGTACAGCCATCAGGAGTTACTTACCACTCTAAAGTCTAGTGAAAACTAATATTGACCTATGGTAGAATTAGAGCTTCAGACTTTGAAGATTTATTTTTCTACATGAAGATGATAATGCTGCTTTGCTGCCCAGACCACTGTCCTTGATCAGACTGGTGTGTGTATTTACATATAGATAAACACACACACATATACACATACATTACACATGCATTTGTGTGCATGCAAATGATATACACACATGCATCTCCTATGGGCATGCACACATGTGCACAAACCAACAAATACTTGCACACACTGACATGCTACTTTCTTAGATATAATCATGTTGACCTAGCTTCCTATGTTCTTTTTCCTTGTGATCACCCATGTACATTTTGTCATGACTTCTAGTATTAGGAAGGCAAGTATAAATAAGGAATCAGTTTTTTGTCTATATGGGTCTTTGATGCTACAATCTATAGATAGGATTATCTTCTGTAGCGCTTAATTCAATCTGAAAATAAAAGTTCAGATGGAAGAATGATGTTCATTGGAAAACAATGAAGCTCAGTGTATGTGTGCATGTGTATGCACACACACATGCACATTCACAACCCTGATGATCAAGGAGTACTGATGTGTTTGGTTTTAGTGTGAGTAACAGATTGGGCATTGGCAAGGTGGTGACATACACACTTTGAGACGTTGATCAGCCAATGGATAGAGATGGGAGAGAGCTCATTGTGGTAGCTTGTCTCTAAGATAACCTCCCTCAACTCCTCCCTTCCCTATGCTATACTCCAGGCTCCCTGAGAAGTGGAATCTACTTCTCCCCTCCTCTTCAATAGAGGGGCATTTATCACTTGATTACATAACTGAACACAGTGAAATGATATTCCAGGATTCCAAGTCTAGATCCTAGGAAGCTGCACAGTTTCCCCTTAGGCTTCTTGTAACTCCTATTCTAGGAGATGCCAGCCTCCATGCAAGAAATGTGAAGACATTGATACTACAGTAATCTATAATAAAGTCCAGTTCCTCCAATTGGAAAGTCTGCACTGGAAGAGTAGTGACAAATTGGCCAAATCCTGTTCCAGTCACATTAGCACTGGTGCCAAGGAAACAGCCTTCAGATTACTCTGGTTGCAGCTGTTGTTCCACTAAACCACATGAGGGGCCCCATGTGACAACCCGAGGTAGTCTGTCAGCCCCCACATCTGTGAGATAACAATACTTGTTGTTTTAAGTTGCAGAAACAATAGACAACATAGAGATTGTTAAGACTTTGCATGTTGTATAGATCTGGACTTTGGACATCTTATTCTTGCACATATCCAAATCTTCATTTTCTTTTCTTGTAAATTCATACAACAGCAATTTGCAAAGCCACAGGAATCACAGGACTCCAGTGCAATACCATTGAAATATAACACCATGTGCTCACACCCCACAGCATTTCATTCTCTGAGAAGGGTGCCTTCTGGGGTTATGGAACACGGCAGACCTATGGTGCCTGATATTTTTACAGAGATGTGCTGTCCTTACAACTCACATGTCCTTTCATGACAGGCTCTGGTAGAACTTGGGAAAAACAACAGAAGGTCAAAGTGGACCAGGGATTTTCTCAGATCACACAGCTGGTAAGTTTAAAGCTCAGACATGGACTGAGCATTTTTCACTCTTGGGTCCTGAGTACCTGCATGGAAGGAGAGTTAAGAGTTTCGTGTGAGCCTTAGAGTTGAATCACCTTCCTCTCCCACCTCTACTACTCAAAAAATGGCTGAGCAACCTACGATGGCCACTGACTCCGTTTTGCTTTCAAATTCCTTATTATTTACATAGCATGTAAAGACTTCATTAAATTCAGTGAGATTAAAAATGTCAAAGTAAAATGTAAACCTCAAAGCATCAAACAAAGATTTTGAATGGTCATACTATTCCTTCTTGTTCATATAGTTTTACCAGAAAAAGTATTTAATCTTATTGTTAAAAGTTGAGTCTAAATGATGAGATGAATAAGAGAGAGAGAGAGAGAGAGAGAGAGAGAGAGAGAGAGAGAGAGAGAGAGAGAGAGAAGGAATAAGCAGGGACAATTCTATATGGAAGCAGAAGAAATTAAAGGTCCCTGTCTGCCAGGGATTGGAACCCAGAGGTGCTTAACCACTGAACCACATCCCTAACCCCTATTATTATTATTATTATTATTATTATTATTATTTTGAAACGGGGTCTCACTAAGTTGTTCAGGGCCTCGCTAAATTACTAGAGGTAACCTTGAACTTATGATCCTCCTGCATGAGCCACCCAAGCTGCTGGGATTACAGGCATGGCCCACTCTGCCTGCCCAGGGAGGTCACTTTTAAAGAGAGCAAAAATCATTCAAGCAGGTTAATGGGGAAAGAGAAGAAGGAAAATTCAGGAACATGGAGCAGTCCTGGAAGGAATGTCTCAGAGGAAGCATTACTGTAGGATTTCTGAATACATGCTTAGTTCCAAAAGGCCACTGGGCACTGAGAAAAGTCATCAAGGAAGACTGCTTCAAAAGAAAGGCACACAGCATATAGGTCATGATACTTAGCACTGAAGAACTAGAGTCCACTATCATAGATCCTTCTTTATTTCTCCCTGTCCTTCTGTCCTGTTCTCTTCCACCTCCAGAAGTCCTTAATCTTTTCTACAAGCCACCATCCCTCTACTCATGTGTCTTCACATTGGGTTTCAGTGAGAAAACATGTGATCAAGGCATAACTTAAGTTGAAGTCTTGTGTGGGAGCTAAACATACATATGCAAGAGCATGCACACATGCAAACGCACACATGGCCACCCCTACTACCAACACTCAGACTAAAATGAGTGACAATTTTGTCTTGTGTTTTCATTTTTCAGAGTGGGTACTGTGTCCCTTTTGTTGATTAGTTTACTTATTAAACAACTTTTTTCTAGGACAATAAAACATGCTATATCTCATTTCAATGATATAACAATTCATAAAAATCCCTCATGAGAGGAAAGTGTAAGTTCTCTGTTTTGTAGAACTAATAAATAAAAATATATACTCTCATAAGTAAAAATGGAGAGTTAAAAAGTTGAAGCCACGAATAACTTATTTTCCCTATTTTTTTTCCCTTAAAGAATTGAAGCACAGAAAATATGAAAGTAAAGAAAGACAGATTTTGCAAATCAATATACTGAAAGAATGTAGGTCAGGTTGCTAGTGTTCTGAACGTGCTAAACGTCTCTCACAATTGCTTTTTAAAGGATCTGGGGCAGGAGTTCTGTCCCTCTGTGCCTGCCCTGATAAAAGGTTATCAACTCTGAATCAAGATGGCTGACTGAACAAATGACTTTCTTCTCCTCCCTCCTCAAATCCCATCAAAATGACACCAGAAATATAAGACTAAATCTATATCCATTGTAGGAAGTCCACCAGGGTCCTAGATGAGTGATCAGTTAGGAAATCTGGAAGATATTTACAGATGGAAACTGATAGACCACAAAAGACTCCTAAATACAGAAAACAGCCCCCACGGACAAAAGAAAGAACCTCTTAGAAGGATTCCCACCCACCCCCCAGTTTTATTCCCAATGAACTTTGGGATTAGAGACAGTTGAGTCTAGAAGAAGGAGCAAGCTTTATTATAGGGCAAACAGCTACTCTCAGAGCATCTGACCTCAGCTTTTGTCCCCAGCTAACACCTTGAGTATCATCTTTTATGGCTGAATTTCCTTTATGGGAAAAGGGTTGTCTGCAGGAGCCTCAGCTCTGTGAATTAATGGGCACTGATCTTAATGAGATGAAGACTTTGAATTCTGGGACCAGTCAATTTGCATTAATTAATTAATTAGTTTGTTAGTTTCCATTCATTAAACAATTTGGCATTGCCGGATATTGTGCATAAACTACAGGAACCAAAATATATTCTAGTCTGTAAGGATTGACCCAAATTTTGTTTCAAATTCCATCTGCCACGTTCCCTGAGTGACTTTCACCCTGTGAGTGAGAGTGATATGGTTCAGAGTAGAATAGGGGTACTTACCTGCTCTTGAAAGATCATAGTGTCATTTGTAGGCGTAGATGTTTAAAAATCTTAAAAGATTTCAGAAGCAATCTTAATGTTGAAGGGTAGGGTAAAACCAAAGGACTTGCTGTCTAGCAAACTAGTCAATATATAAGTCAAGAGGGTAAAACCAAAGGACTTGCTGTCTAGCAAACTAGTCAATATATAAGTCAAGCATAAATTTAGCAGAATACTTGTAGGCACACTGGAAAACAAACAGGTGTCTCCAACACCTCAAATGTGGTTTCCCTTCACATACAATATGGGAAATTCAGTTTAAATGTCATCAAAGTAATAGGACTGAATTTATTAATAATAAAAATAAAGCCATTCCTATAAAAATTATTATCTGAGGAAGTTTTACTCTTATTTCAGTAACAATAGTACCTTTCCCTTCCAAATTTCTGTAACTGTCTTCACGTTTTCCTTTAAAGCCCGGGGCACAATCTATTTAAACACATTCAGCTGTGACACTTTTTTTTTTTTTTTTTGAGAGTAAATTTGATTCCTTGATGCAGCCAAAGATCATTTTGGCTAAAAGTCTGGTGAATACGATGGTTGGTTAAGCTGGGAATAATATTTTTGGTTAAAAATGAGACTGATTTCATGTGTGGTTTGTAAGCCAATTAAAAGGGAAATGATTATTGCTTAATAGCCCCTCTCACTCGTGATTACCAATATTGTGGACCTTCCAATTGCCACTCACAGCTCACATGGAGAGAGGAAGAACAATCCTATGAATGAGGACACAGTAATGAAATCATCTTCATAATCCGGGGCTAGAATAACCATCTAACATTACTACTCAAGGACAGAATTACATGTATTCAAGAGTCTTGCTAATCTAATTTTAAAGCTGTGTGATATTTGAATAAAATCATGGAACTTCCACCATCCAAACCCTCCACTTTCAATACCCTAGTACTCCCAGCAAAGAGGAATCTAGCATTCCAATTGCCTTTTTTGTCTATTTCTTACTCATAAAGAAAATAAATAAATAAAAATAAACTTCTTCTTTATTCATCATTGCATGTTTCAGTATGAATTTACCCCCTTCAAATTTAATGTCCCATAGATATTTAATGCGGGCTTTGAATCATTACTGCCCAGACAGTCTGCCCAAGAAAACACATTATTCCACTTTACAAATATGAGGATAGAAATAGCATAGTTAAATTTGGTCATATTTGTTCTAAATATTTTAGTCAATAAGGAAATGGATATCAAATTTAGGGTCTTCTGTTATTTTGCATTTCTAAAAATGTATTCAGATGCACATCAATAATTGATTTTGTTGATGTGTTTCCTGTTTTGCTTCATGATAAAACTTTCAGGCTGTCATGGGTAATTTTGGTGGATAATCCAAGATTTGGGTGCTTATACTTGGTATACTTAAAGTCCTTCCAAAGTCCTGTAAATTCCTTCATTCTTTTAAAATGGAGTCACACCATTTGAAAGGATGGTATACTTCTAAGCAATCTTACAAAAGAAGTCAACTCCCTCTCAGGACCTTTGATGGAGAAGCCCTGTAGGGCAGGCAAGGTCAAGGGGAAAAATAAAATGCACAAGATAGATGCTCACTTGACTACAAATATGTAGTTCTCTAGGGCTAGTGCTAAGGGTTTGTGTTTAAGATGAGAACATACTCAGCGTGTGGGAATCGGCTACACATCCTAGTGGGAGGGGATTTATGTGGGCAATTCCTTCTGTGCAACATTATAAACACAGCCTATTATCTCCTGACTTTCTGATTCCTAGTTCTTTTTTTTCCTAATGAATGATTCATGTATTAATAATGGTAAAAATAATACTTTGCAATTATAGTATGCTCTTTTTCTCTCTGGGGTACTCAGTGGACATTAAGTACATAATCATTTTTTCATTCAGACTGTCCTGGGGGGTAGTTGGGAGGCTTACTGCTGGGGATATCAGCTTTATATTATCCTTGTTCTGCAAACATACATTTTTGTGCAAATGCCAATTTTCTGCATTCTTTAGGAGAAGGAAGCTAAAGTGATTCCTCATTACAAGACACAAAGAGCTGTGGCAATAGATGGAGTTCAAGACCAGGAGCTCACTGAACTTTTTGGTTGACTGACAACTTGGGAAGACCCATTCAGACCCTACTGCTGCTTGGTTCTCTCCCTAACAGGTAAATTGGAGAGTGCCTGGCACCTTAGTTCAGGGTCCTCTCTCTTCTCTGTCTGAACTCTGTTTTAAAGATTCATGACATCACTGGGCACCAAAGTTATAAATGTCATATCTTTGTTGATTATTCTCAAGTTCATATTCTTGAGTTCTCAATTTTCTTCTGACTCATACATTTAGCTTCCTGACTGACATCTTTTCCTGGATATATATGAGGCATCTCTGAGTTTATATGTTTGAGTCTTTCTCATGCCCTGCCCCAACTTCCACATCTAGTGGGTTCCTTCCCTAATTGTCCTGATGTTAGGAGAAGCTACTGCTGTGATTTGAATGTTTGTGTCTTCCTGAAATTCATATTAAAATCCCAAAGATTTTAGGAGGTGAGGACTTCAAGAGGTTCAAGGTCACGAGAGTGGTGCTCTCCTGTGTGAAGGAGCTGCTGTGCCCATGTGAGGACACAGCAAGAAGGCACCATCTACAAACCAGGCCTATCATCAGGTACTGACAGGCCTGGGGCCTTCATGGTTGATTCCCAGTCTCCAAAATTGTGGGAACAATGTTTTGTTGTCCATAAGCTACCCATCTTATAGTATTTATATTATCTGACTAGGACAGATATTAATATCTGTCTAATTTAGAAGTCTCCTTAGTTTCTCCTTTTACCTCTCTTTCTTGACATGTTTTCCATTAAGTGCAATGTGTTCTACTCTCAGCATGGTTTAAACCATAATCTTCTTAATAAACTACATTAGTTATTTCTCAGCTGATCTTACTGATCTATTCTTGATATTCAGCAACTCATTTCCATAGCAGCTAGAGTAAGTGTTTAAAGATTGAAACTTTTCAAAGTGAGTCCTCTCTTAAGACACTCCTCCCCATGTTCTTGATTTCTACTAAACATGGAAGAATAATGGCTTGAAGAACGGCCAAGCCCTTGGTGCCTCTCTGACCTCACCATGTGCCATGCCATCCTGACCCTTGCTCACTGTGCTCAAGCCACAGTGACCTCCTTTCTGTTTTTGGAATAAATTAACCTGATTCATGCCTCTTCCTTCTGTTTGGACTATTCTTGCTACTCATCTTTATAGCTTTAGTTTCTCCCATATTATGATATTTTAAATCCCACATATCATCTCATAAAGATTTTCTTGAAGACTTCACCCAAATTGGCCTCATTTATCCACACTCTCTCCTACAAGCCTGTTTATTTCCTTGCTTTTAATTATTCCGATCTAAAAGTAGTTTACTGTGTTAGGTCTGCCTTCCCTCAAGGTCCCACATGCCCTGGGACCTTTTGTATCTCAATTTTCTTTTTATTTTCATTTTCTAAAGATGTGTCTGACTCATAATAAGTGGTCAACAAATATTAACTTATATTGAATAAATAAATTAATGTAGGTGATAGGGAATATACTCTATTTTCTAATAAAGGAGATTAACCCCATCCTGCTGTCCTCTAAAATCATCTGTATGTGGAGTATGACTGGGATGTATGGGTGGGATTTGAAGCCTGGGGAACAATTCGAAGGCTAATGAAATGATCCCAGTAGCAAGTGGAGTGGACTTGGGTGAAGGCAACATTAAGGGGCACAAGGAGGAGGAAAAAGGCAGCTAGGAGATGGAACCCAAAGAATTTGCAAGGGAAAGAGAAGAAAGAGTCTCAGTTTAGATTTTTTAATATGTCCATTTCAATGTATGATGATATCATCGATTCAATTTTAAAATCAGGGGAAGAAACCAATTTAAGACTTGCAGTTGGTAAAATTTGGTAAAATTACTAGATGATAATAATGTCCCCTCACTCTGAGTTGACTCCCTCTTACCAAGATGGGCCCCTTGTGACTATATTTTATGTAACCTGGTCCCTCAGTGATAGTCTATGGGGCCTGGAATACTCTTCTAATCCAATTTAAGCCAAAAAGACTCTTTCCCTGGAATTTGGAATTAGAATTGATTAATAGCTAGTCAGTGTCTGGGTATGGCTAGAATTGAGATAGCATAAATTTTCAAACTGTGGGGTTGTCTGTCCCCTTGCATAAGCAACACAAGAAGTCATTTTATATAGGAAGTGACTAAAAATTAAATAGGCAGAGTAAAATAGAAATTAGACCTTGAGTAGGGGACAGGAAGAGCCCTACTTGCACTGTTCTGTTTTTGCCCTAAGATACATAAAACCCAGCTGCCTTTGGTTTCCTAGAGATACTCCAGAATCCAGTATGCTTCTAGCAATTTCTCTTCTCTCTCTGATTAATTAATCGTTTTTTAAAACCCACATCCAATAAAAGAAATCTATGAATTTATGTATACATATATTATACAAATGTAACTCCATAAAGAATGTTGGGTTTTTTTTCATAAATAAGTGATTGAAATAATTGACTCCTCTTGTACTAGTATTTTAAATTAATCAAAAGGTAATCACTGAGAGCACGTGTTCCACACTCTGAGACTTGCACAGAGGAAAACACAAAGAGTACAACTTTTTGTTCCTGCTGCAGAAAGTATAGGAAGCTCTTTGGCACCTGAAAAGTTAAATTGTTTGAATTTAATAATAATATAATATAGGAGATGTCACAAAGCAGGGCTGTCCATGATTAATTGCCAAATAGTTCAGACAATAATGCTGCCTGAGTTCAGAGGCTGAAGAGAGCCTAGGGCGGGGTGGACAGGTAAACTGCAATAAGGATTGAGGACAGAGGTTGGAGCTTGAGGGATGGTTAGGATTTGCACAGCTGGACCGGAGTGAGAAGTCCTCTCTGTGACAAGCACCATGAACAAAAGCAGTTAGGCAGGGGGACATTTAGAGCCCATATGCCTAAGAATCTTGGTCTGTGAAAGATGCCTAAAGGATAAGAAATGACAACAAAGGATGCTCTAGAATGCAGAAGATAATTTAGCATTTTCTCTCTCTTTGGCTCCCCTAAGAAAAGATCAGTTTCACACCAATCTCCTTTCTACCTTTTTTTCCCCTTAAATCCACCTTAGTCAAAGGAGTATTCTTTCAATGTCATTGACGGGCAATAACTCCCAAGCAAACAAGCCCATCCCTAAAACTTTGGTTCTGTTAAAGTCCATGGAATGACCAGTCTAAGAAAATTCTCCTAGAGAGCAGTGTGAACTTGGGGAATGTGCTGCGCTCCCTGTAGCAGGACTGAGCAGCTTGGAGAACAGGAAGGAATGAGCGGGAGTTGGCAGCTCCATCATGGCTAAGATGAACGGATGGAGAAGAGAGCCATGTGGAGTACATCAGGGCCAGGAGGCTAAATCTTCCCTGGCCTGAATCTGACCCTAAAAAAGGAAGCCTTCATAAGTCAAGGCCCAGCTCAGCTCCCAGACACACATGTAAGCAATACCACCCCCCAACCTGCTCCTAGACACGCAGGGTCAGCACTCTCCCTAACAGAAGGCAGATGGGAGAATCTCCATTAGCCCAGCCCGGATGCACCAGCTGGGCCTCAGCTTCCACTTAAAAAAAAAAAAAAAAGCCACACATTTCATAATGAATCTTCTAAAACACCATTTGTAAATACAATCTTCAAATCCTGATCTGCTACTAAAGTTGGTATGATTAAAACAAATGAAGGAACCCAATCCTTAAGATAGGTGCTCCGGTTGCTACTACCCTTATAGAACATTCCTTTGCTTTTTATTTATATATTTTAATCTTTTTTCCATTTAGTCTCTGGAGAAAAGTTCCCAATCCTTAGATGCATTTATTCAAACCAACCTTTAGTTTGAGAAGATCTGATTTGTCAGCATTTCCCCCCCCTTTCACACACTCAGGCCATATTTTACAGGCACTTAAAACCACACAATCACAAGCGGTCCATGTCCTGTCCAGACATCAGCAGCACTATTTCCATATGAATCTAGGTCAAGGCAATAGCAAAATGTTAAAAACCTGGCATGCCAGGCAGGAAGGGAAAACAGCCATTGGGAGAGCACAGATGCACCTCCTGGTTCAGTTCTGTGTCACATAAAGAAGTTAGAACTGACCCCACAAAACCACTCTCCACGATAGGGCCGGCATTTAAAAATCACACAGACAGCTGAAAAGTCCAAATTCAAATCAAACTCCACTCTCCCAAATGCCACAAGTCTTTTCCTTCTCCTTTTTATACCTGCTTAGTCACAGAGGGTGAAAAAAAAAAAAATGAAGAGAGTCAAGGAAAGCTTATTAGCACGTAAAAATCAATGAAGCTGAAAAGTCTATTCTATACAATGAAAAATTAATGCATGATAATTAATTTGGAACCTTAATTAATTAATGTTTGTAAAGCACTTTGAGATTCTCCAATGAAAGATGGCGTGAATGCATTCGGGTATTGTTTTATGGTGCCATTGTGGCATTTTGAGTTCAGGTGCCACGTAGTAATATTATTAATGCAAATAATAGTAACTAGTTTCAATAAAAGAACCCCAGATATGCTAGGATCTTTTGTAAATTTGTACATATCAACTTACATTCTGCATAACATAGTAGCCTGCAGTGGTGAGGAAGCTGGGGGCATTCTACTATGTCCACATGGAAGAAAATTTACAGTAATAGCCAAGTCCCTTTGAAATAATGGAGAAAGTGACACATGAATCATTGCAAATTAATTACTAACTAATTCCATTGTATATTTCTGCTCTAGCAAACCAAAATTATTCATTTTTTCCCCAAACAATGCCGTACATTTTCTTACCTGTGTGCCTTTGTTCGGTTTTCCCTTGCATCAGGAATGATCACCTCCCGTGTCCCATATATAAGTCCTGTCCACTCATCAACATCACTTTCCATGAAACATCACCCAACCTCAAAGTGGAAATTTCCAGCTTCTCAAAGTCCTTAAACTCAACGTTCATGCCATTCATAAGAATAGAGGCTATCAGGCAAGATAGCCATGGTTATGCTCAAGTGACTTGAAATCTGTGACTTAAAATGTTTATTATTTATTTGCCTATACAAGACTGGTGAGAGAGACTAAGTAATTTTCCCAAAGTAGAACAAATATGGCTGTGAGGTAAAGCTTACCCTGAGTAGTATTTGTACTTTGGAGAATATTTTATATTGACCAAGTATGAAAAATGTAACTAAAATACAGACTCTACAAATTAAATTTCTCTGAGCTTGGAACTGGCAAGTTCTTTTTTCCTTAAAGATTTTCCTCTTTTCTCTTTCATTTTTTCCCTTTTGTGACTAAGGATGGTGACACAGTTTTCCTTTTACATGAAAATAAAAAGGTGAGCCTTGCTCAAATTACTAAAGTCATGTAATTCTAATTCTTAAAAATTTCATGTGAAATTATTTTTATGTCAGTAAAAACTTATATTTAGATATACACCTGAGACGCACACAGGTAAAAATCTTGGTGGCTTAAAAAAGTTACTAGTGAAGTTTATTTTTATTTATTTATTTTTGACACGGGTTTGTTTTGGTTTAGTTTTTACTTACATTTCAGTGACATTTAAAAACATAATTACCAGTGTTACCTTTGATCATTGAATATTATTATGTAAAAATCCAGAAATTCATAAAGAAGGAAATTAGTCCTATGTAATCTTACCATGGAGTGATATCTTCTATGCCTTCGTGTGGCCTTTTCTCAATTAGGATACATTCTTTATTTTTGGGAGGAGAGTGGTACCCAGGGATTGAACTTGGAGGTAGTCAACCACTGAGCCATATCCCCAGCCCTATTTTGTATTTTATTTAGAGACAGGGTCTAGCTGAATTGCTTAGGGCCTCACTAAATTGCTGAGGCTGGCTTTGAACACGCAATTTTCCTGCCTCACCTCCTGAGCCACTGAGATTACAGGTGTGTGCCACAGTGTCTCGCTAGAATATTTTCTTGATGTCCCCTCTTCTTTTTCTAAGGACACCAGTCTTACTAGTTAGGATCCACACCTTACTGATCTCATTTTAAACTTATTGCTTTTTTGAAGACCCTGTCTCCAACAAATAGTCATATGGATCAGCGCCCATAAACGTGGCCTCATTTAATTAATTACCACTTTGTGGCCCTATTTCCAACTCTGGTTATATTCTGTGGTGCTAGGGCTGAATTTGGGAAGAAGACACTTTAGTCCATAAAGCACACTAACACAGACCTTTTCCTGCAAGTAATTGAATAGTGAAAATATTTTGTATGATGTATAATATAACATTATTTTTGTCTTTAATCCTAATAACTGCCTAAGAGAAACTTCTTTTTATTGTTTCCTGCCATCCCTCCTCCTTCTCTCCTCCCCTGTTTCCTTCCTTT